TGAAAGCTAACTTGTTAAGAGCTGGTTCTCTTTTCTTTCATCCATCCTTCAGGACTTAAACTATGCCTGAGCACATGCATACACATAAACACCTCCTGATCGAGTACAGCTGTATAAATGGACAGTTGTTTTGTGCAGCCGTGTATTGATAGAGTGCAGCAGTAGAAACAACTTATCATGTGCCATTGTAAACATGGAATTGTAATCACACATTATAGGAGATAACAGGTTAACACACTACATATTAAGTACATATGAGTATTAAGCAGTCTTGTCTATGCAGAGTCAGGTTTGAATTGCTTCGTATTCTTGAATTTGCAATATGTTGATAATATCTCACATTTTGTCATTATATTGTGTATTTGTAGGAAGGGCATTTCTTCACTGAAATAAGTCCAAAAGTATATGTAACACGTTCTGGAAGGAACTTGCTGTACATACATACATACATACTGATACATTCAGAACTTACGTGAAACTTATGATTGGCACTGGCATAATTTAGAACCAAGACAATGTTCAAGCTTCAAATTGTACAGGGGCATCGTGGTTTACAGTGCTAAACCAATTTTAAACTTCTTAATGCCATTCTTTCCAATGTTTTAGGAGCCTTCAAAAGTAAAATTATCATGCCAAACAATAGTATAAACTATTAATTGTAGAAAAATGATTTGAAAATGTGATTTCCACATCTGATTTGCTGGAAGATTCAAACCATGGTCAGTCTAATCAGACATCATATCATGAGTCTAAATTAAATTAAGAAAGTGATATATCATGAACATAAACTATTTGTATTTTGCACACATTGAAAAAAAAGATCTTTTAGAGCATTAATGTCAAATTGTACTTGGTCTATATGCAATATCTGATATTTAGCTCAATGAAAATGCTGAATACATGATTGTTTTTGTTTTTCTGTTCGATTACTTCTTGATGCTGCTTTAAATTGTGAGTGATATACTATTTTTAATATTAAATATTTCATTTGTACAGAGGTTAAATTTAGTGATTCTTAAATTTAAAAAAATATGGTTAGCATAAATTTATGTATACTATGGTGTTCTTCTCCCCCATTATCTCAGCTTTTTTGGTATCTTTAATTACTTTAAAAAGAGGATTAATTAAATGCATTGTGATACAAATACGTTGCTGCATAACCTTTAAACCTATCTTTTCCTTTTTCTATGTGTTTTTCAGTGTAAAGTATATTATATGGTTAATTAATAATTTTACAATTTCTGAAGTGCAGTGGGACTTGCACAGAGCTTACACACTCCTTGTTTACCTTGCACTCAGAGACCTCTGATCCTTCTGAACGTTTCTGAAGCCGTTTGGCTGCTAACCAGAAACCTTGCTTCTAGATCCTGCTGAAGAAGAGATGGCACCCAACTGTTGCAAACGCTGACACTTGTCCAGAGGATTACAACTCTGATCATGCAGCGTGTGAGGGGAAGAGGGAGGAGGATCTTGACCCGCTCTATGTTCCTTTGCATAATTGTTTCTGGAGGCAAAAGGGCAGAAAAGGTTCAGCATTAGAGAAGCATATTTGACGGGAAGTTGTCATTTGAAAACAGTTTGCATTGCCTGTCATCTTTTGTTTGGAAGAAAACAGGCTGTGGCATAAAACCTGTCACTGCCAGCGGGAGCTTTTGTGCACCCTGGAGTGTCTATCCCAAGCAGTGGCAACCTTTAGACTAGGCTATCGAAGTGGTTAGTGAGAACTTTTCCTGGAGGGTCTTTGCTGTATATATACTGTAGTGGCCCCCCTGCCAAAGGGCCAGTTCAGAAGTGGAAAAGTGGAGTTATGTTTTGGCAATTTATGACAGCAGTACCTGAAATTTCTGATGATGATCCTGGTTTCTAGAAGAAAGGGAAAATACTAGCTTTCAGTTATCCATTCTACTCTGAGTGGAAGCTATTATATATTTTAAAAGGCAGGTATTTCACTCTTGCTGTTTGGAAAACACATTTTAAGCACCATTAAAGGATTGTGTATAGCAAGGGGATATACTAGGAAATAACAGATATAAAGAGAGGACACATTTCTAAAACATTTTCATTTAATTTATCCCATAAAATCTGTATTAGATACCATTATTATGATATATCGGGACTTGTAAATTGCTCACAACTGCTAGCTTCTTCTTGATATGTGCAAGTATTTAACTATATAAAATTCTGATAGTGAAGGAAAACTAGCAACATTAAGGGTTCACTGCATCTTTTCCCTCTGTGTGTGTGTGTGTGTCTGCACATGTGCATAAATCAATAAAATCTGTCCTTTTTCTTAAGAGATTTAGAAATGTTTCTGCTTTGTTTACATTTTGATAAGACTATGTCATCTTGATAAATGCCTAGCCCAGTCGGAAATAGGAAGACTTGAGCTGAAGGTGAATGTCATTTTAACCAGCCAAACTTGACGTACCTCTGATACAGCTTTGTGGAAGAGACACCTATCGCTTGATAGCTGTGTGAAACTGTTGCCTACAGAGATGGGCTCTTGACACTGTCTGCCAGCCTCAGGCTGTCCGCTTTGTGTCGGCTTTAATTGAAAATTAATAGTTAGGGGGTTGCTATGGAAATGATACCATTGCTTGCAGACAGCAAACCCCGCTTTTTGCAAAGAGACACTAGTGGTATTGTTTGTCCTTGTTGACCTCAGAAGTTCAAAAGCCTGGAGGAGGAAAGGAGATGCAAATATTTTACTTAAAAAAATTAATTTGCATATTTATAACATTGTTTTTAAATGTAGAGTTAGCAACTATATAGGAACTTTCGTGAGTATATGATTTTAAAGCTTTTAAATGTTATGTGAAATGTGAAGCACGCTGCTTTAAAGTAGGATGAAATGCATTATTAAAAAGCATGTTTAGCTTCTCTGTCAACCTAGTAGATGGAATATTCCTTCTGAATAGTAAATAATGAAATCATTTTTTTTTAATCCTGTGGATTTCATCAGAACAGAGTAGTATTAGAATCTATCACTGCCCATTTTTTTAACAGGAAATTCTTTACAAAGAAACTATTTGGGATGAAATAGTATGTGAATTAAGAATTTGATAATAATTTAAGGGAAAAAATATTGCTAAAAGTGAAATGTAACAAAGACTTATTTGCAAGGATCATGTGGCTGAGCTTTTCATTTGCTTTGCTCATTGTTCTTATCAAGCATGTAATTAAAGGTATGTGCCATATATATGTAAGTGTTATGCACATATTATGAACTAGTGAACATCATTTGTGTTTTATTAAGGTGTACTTTTCCAGAGAAAGGTTTTCCTTTGAAGAAATACTACAAACAATTTTGAAGAGTAAAGTAGCTTAAATTCAAAGCAGGGAGGGGGAGGAAACTAACATAGAATATTAAATTGTTCTCTATCAGAGTGCTAAAGAATAAGTGCTTTCTCTTCGTTTCAGAGGAGGTGGAGAACAGTGTAGCCTCAGGGGTTGAAGGTGAAATGTGAAATTTGCTGTAATTACTTACCCAAAATGTCTGTATTAAAGGCTATTAGAAGCAGTTATTTTAAGTACTTCTTCCCCTCCTCTGTTTAGTATTTAAATGTGTTACAAAAAGTAGAGGCAGATGGTATTAATCTAAAAGGAACAGCTAAAAGATACTTTAAGTCAGTGGCGGGAGTGGTTTATGGCCACAGATTGTCTGCAAAGTATTGTTCAGCCATACCTATATCTTGCCTAGGATAAGTTGTAGGCAGTGTGTTCTTAAAAAGCCTGTCCGCTCGCTCCACCGTTCAGCTCAAAACCGTGAGCATTGTTAGTCTTTCTCCAGAAGTGAAGGCCATAAAACAAAAAGTTGGTGTGCATTGCTAAGGTGTAACTGCTAGGAAACTAGCTGGCATTGTAGACATGGGGAGGGGGAGGGAAGTCCTGCAAACAATCTTTGACTCACTTGTTCTAGCGAGCTGGCTTTTATTGAGATTTGAGTTTCTGTAGTTTTTGGCCCTAGCACTCTGAAGCTAGCATCTCCCCCTCCTTTTATTCTGATGTGTCTACATAAACATTGCTAGGCTACCTACAGTATAAAATCTTAAAACTCCATGTGGTGTTGTGAGCTGGTAGCAGATGGACTTTCTTTTGCATCTGCTGTGTACAGATTTGGCTTTGTACTCTTTTCCTGGGGGACAGAAAGTCTTTCTTCTCTGCTAGTTGATTCCTGTTTTTGTGAAGCAGCTAAGAAAACATCTGTGGCAGGCAGAAAAAAAAATTGACAAAGGATTGACAAACACCATTAGCTGAAAAATTTTCCATTTCATTGCAACTATGCATTGTTTACTTTACTGTAAATATCTTAATACATCTTCCTCTGAACATGCTGGCAGAGAGACGGAGCACTGTGATTTCAATTAAGGTTAGTAATTGATGGTATCTAGTGTTCAAAGGCTGAGACTTGATTAACATCTGCTTGGACAAATTGTCATTGTGAAGTGGTTTCGATGTGAATTGAAGATTATTTCTCTCCCGCTTATCTGATGTTGTGGCTGTGAAATGCTTGTCTTTAGTTTGCTTATTTTTGTTAAAATACTTCCTTTGGCTGTAAATTGCAGAGCATTGGAGCTTTCCCAAAAGTACACTGCATAATAGCAGGCTTGTCCTAATAAGGGAAGCAAGAAGTATATTTATCACAGACATGAAAGACATGAAAGACTTGAGAGATTCAAACTGCTTGCTATTGAACAAAAAAGAAAAAAATAGAAGCACTTACTTTAGAAAGATTATGGTAAGCATGCTGGCTCAGTCTTGAACCTTTGTCACCCCTCACGTTGCACACCAAAGACATACCCTAGTGATTAAATGCTGATTTTGTGTATGATTGTCCACAGACGCCAAAACAATCACAGAGCAGCTTGATTTGTTTTAATTACTAGCACAAGATGCCATCAGTCTGGGACGTGATCGGGCAGAGGTGTACTCACAGTAGTGTAAATACTGCTGTAAATAGTTGCCTGATGGTAGCTTTGACAGTGAGCTAGCTTCTGAGT